ATAGCGGGAAAGTGTCCAATTCAGGATTGAGAGGATTCAGTAAATACTGGAACAATCACTTGACAAAGTTAGATCTAAATTTCAAGCTGACCATGTTCAACGATAGATGAATAGAATTGGATCACATGGTAGAAGGTAGCAATACTTCAAAGAAGAAGGATAAACCGACCGGCCTGATCCCCAAAAGCGAATGGTGGATGACGTTCGCTGATTGGACGAGAGCGAAAACATTGATGCTGAAATATCTAAAGCAAACATATTTCCACATAAAGTTCGCAAACGAGTAAGTAACTCGTTAGATAAGTAAAAAGACAAACAAGCTAATATAGACTTAATAGTTTGGAAAAACACTTCAATTATGTAGAAAACCTGAGTCTCAGGCATGGCTGGTTGACAGCATTTAGATATGACATACTAGTAAGAACGGATGTTATGTGTAACAGGGTAGATGGAGCACCTGGTGATCCCAAGATTCCACGCGAAATCTTTTTAGAGGAAGCTAAAGCGAGGACGGATCTATTGAGAGACGGACGGATCATACTACTAGATAATCGTAAGATTAATCCTGAATGAGTTGATCGTATAGAAACTGATTGTTAATGTTTTTTACACAGCTTACGCGAAAGGTAACATTAGAGAAAGATTCAACCCAGTCACTGGCAAACAATACTCTGAAGGGATAAATCACAATTCGATTGATGGAGATTTAGATGAAGTTGAAAATAATCAAAGATTTATACATGATAAAAGTCAACAAAACTACTCGAACAATTACTTAAAACCTCCTCAATTCAACAGAAATAATAGCTTCAGAAGTAATGAGAACTTTCAATCCAATTTTCAAAATAATAGGAGAAACAACCGTAGAAATTTCAATAGAGAAAAATCACCAACCCCTTATCAAAGAAATGAGAAACCGAAGGATAAATCCTTCCCATCGAATAAGGGGAAGCAAGTAGATAGATCTCAAATGTACAGAGAAGACGAGCCGCGTCAATCGACTTCCAAAGAGAAGATAACGTGAGCTTATTGATGTAACCTTCTTTGTTTTCCTTTTTTGTTTGTATTGAATTTGTAAAGACATAGAATTTTACCTTTGATTGTTGTTGTAATAAGTCTTTAGTATCATTATATTGAAATAATATGATGTTTTTCTGCTGTAGTGAACCTGATAGGAATGACTCGAGTTTAGTGAGACAGCATCTGAATTCTTACGATGTTCCATGGCCAGCAAAAGTCAAATGTAATATGAATATTCTTGAATGGAGAAGACAGCTACAAGAATTTGGATTGATAGAAAAGTTTGGTTATTTGCTGGATGGATTTGAGAACGGTTTTCATCAAGGTATTCCAGCACATCGAATAAAGGATTGGGACTTCTATTGTCCACCTAATCATAACTCCGCAATGAATGCGAGAAAAAAGATCGAAGACAACATACTGAAAGAGGTTAATGCAGGTAGAATGTACGGTCCTTTCACTAAGGAAGAAGTAATTCAAAAAATCGGTTTCTTTAGAACGAGTCCGTTAGGCGCAGTCGAGAACGGTGACGGAACCTTTAGACCAATTAACGACATGTCTTACCCGAAGTTTGATTCTGAAATACCGTTGGTAAATTCTTTCGTCAACAAAGAAGAGTTTGAGACGACATGGGACGACTTCAAATTGGTAGCTACGTTCATCAGAAGACTAAAGGAAGATGTGCAAATGGGGATTTTTGACTGGGAGGGTGCGTATAGGCAAATTCCTACACACCCCTCGCAGTGGCCGTACTTGGCAATAATGGATTTCGAAAGCATGATTTACATCGACTTGATGATCGCGTTTGGAGGAGTTGCAGGATGCGGATCCTTCGGAGGACCCGCTGACGGCTGGAAAGAATTAATGAAGGCAGCCTTTAAATTGATGGAAGTTTTTAGATGGGTAGATGGCAACTTATTGATTAAGTTGAAATCGGACCCTACAACTATGATTCAAATTGTCAAAGCCAGCGAGCGATTGGGCGTTAAGACGAATGTAACTAAATACGCAGAATTCGCGGACGAACAGAAGTTCATCGGCTTCATATGGAATTGCGTTGAAAAGACGGTACGATTAACTGACAAGAAACTAATGAAACGAAAGGTAGAAATCGACCAGTTTCTCCAAAAGACAACCGTCACAAAGAAAGAAATGCAAAAATTTAATGGAAAACTAAGTCATCTAACTTTAATTTTACCACAACTCAAGTGTTACTTGGTTGAAGGATTTAGTTTCGTTGCATCATGGAGGTCCCCTGGCAAGAGAAAGATTCCAGACGATGTGAAAGAAGACGTAATTTATTGGAAACATTACTTGGACAACTTGAACCCGACTAAGTTAGTTCCCGACCACATTATAAAGAACGTTGGTTGGGTGGGAGATGCCTCGACGGATTATGGAATAGGAATAATAATCGGGAAGTCCTGGTCGCAGTTCAAGTGGATTTCTGGTTGGGATGAGCCACCAGGGCGTCCTAGGCGGACGATCGCCTGGGCGGAAACCGTGGCGGTGCGACTGGGAATCTTGATGCTGAAAGAGATGAATTTGGGGACTGGTTTGGCCGGTTATCGTTTCTCTTGTCTAACTGACAACACAACCACGGAGGGCGCGGCAAGAAACAGGAAGTCACGCGACTTCTGGGTGAACCGCGAGTGGAGAATAGTTCAGGACTTGCTGGTGCAGTTAGACTGTGACATCAATCTGGTTAGAGTCACTTCTGCTGACAACGAAGCAGACAAACTATCACGGGGTCTGCGACCTTCAAAAGGCCTAAATAACCTGGTCTGCGTACCCATCCCTTCAGATCTCTCACCTCTCTTATCTCAAACGTTCCCCATCACAAAACCATCATCGTAAAAATGACCTCGGCCGAATTGACCCTCAGGAAGACAAACCCCTCATCCTATCATCGTCTAGACACAGCTAGCGAGATGATGCTGAAACATGGTTGGGCAGCTTCGACCGTTAGACAATACGCCGCGGCCGTTAACAAGTTTTTCGTCTTCATGGACGACGCTCCCTTTTCCTTCCCAGTCAAAGCCATCGAAGTCTACAACTTTATTGTGTGGTGCGGAGACCACGAGCAACTTTCGACGGTGATCAATGCTACAACAAAACGGTACCTTACAGGGTTAAGAATGTGGCATTGCCTGCACAACGTCAAGTTTCCTCGCCTAGACCCAAATCGCCTGGGCATTATTTTGAAAGCTTCGAAGAAAGTGGAACTACAGAACGTGAAATCAGTGTGATCCGGCCTAACTCTGATGGATGTTGATTGCCTTATCTCGAAGTTGCCCGGGATGACCTTACCAAATGTGACCTTACGTGCAATCATCTTGGTGGGGTTCTGGGGGCTAGCAAGACTCAGTGAATTGACACGCCACAATGACCATCCTGACGTATTTATTCGACGTAGAGATGTTGATATTGCTAATAATGGAGCCTCGGCGGTCATCAAAGTACGCCTAGCCAAGACGGCAGAACCCGGGGAGGTACAATTCATCCGCCTCACACGACAACCAAACAGACTCGATCCAATAGCGGCTCTAGAGGTACTTCTGCAAAACACGCCAGGTTTGCCAAACAATCCCTTATTTAGAGGGATTCTTCCCGATGAACCGATGCGACGTACTAGCGTCTTAGCTGTGCTTAAGTCACATCAACCGCCAGGGATCAGTTGGTCGGGCCATAGCTTACGAATTGGTGGAGCGTCCCTACACGCTAACCTTGGTTGCTCCTTACAAACCTTGAAACGAATGGGGCGCTGGAAGTCCTGCGCTTACAAACTATACGTACGACGATATTCTGGTAGAGTTTTACGAAGTACGAGACGGTTGGCGAAAGACTTACGTGTTTGATATGCCTGGAGGACCTTCTATGTTGTATTGCAATACTTTTTGAGTGTTCCTGTCAGCGCTTTCGCTTATGATGTTACAATTCAGTATGATAATTTTCTGTGCTCCACGTGTAAATGACGGTGAGGAACTTACATTGAGCTTGTCTCTACGAGGACGGGTTTCGAGTCCCTTCGCATGGACTCGGCTCTTCGCGCCTTCGCTCCCTGTGAGTGGGTTCGAAGGGCCTCTTACCCGTCCCGTTTTGACAGTTCTCAACCTGGCGTCAAGGTAGGCTTCCCTTGGATACGCCCCTGACTAAGTTTGAGAACCTTAGGTTCCTCCCACAGCAAGCTAGCCTCACTCTCGACGGTGTCGAGAGCAAGGCTAGCACTTGCACGACCTATGACCTAAGAAGTGTCATTTCGAATCTCAGCCAGACTATCTCTGGACAGCCTCCACCCTTGGAGGGAAAGACATGGATTCTAGATTGGTGACGTTGGAACGAGGAATCAGTCCCGTCCATGTCACACCCCGGAAAGACCCTCACGTGAAGAAGAGGTCATGGGCACCATAGACTCGATCCAGGGAAACTGATGACATCAGTCTGATGACTGATCAGTCTCGCCCTGGACGAAGACGTTGAGAGAGAGTCATCTCGGTTCCCACCGTTTCTGATCTCAGAGTAGTAAGTTGAATTTCACCTTTCAACTTTCATCCTCCTCTCTCTCCATCCTTCTTCACTCTCCTAGTGTCCTTTCCGCGGGTAAGAGGCCCCCTTTTTTCGAACCCTCTTCATTTCATGCCCACACTCCCTGTGGTTCGAAGGGCCTCTTACCTGTCCCGTTTTGACAGTTCTCAACCTGGCGTCAAGGTAGGCTTCCCTTGGATACGCCCCTGACTAAGTTTGAGAACCTTAGGTTCCTCCCACAGCAAGCTAGCCTCACTCTCAACGGTGTCGAGAGCAAGGCTAGCACTTGCACGACCTATGACCTAAGAAGTGTCATTTCAAATCTCAGCCAGACTATCTCTGGACAGCCTCCACCCTTGGAGGGAAAGACATGGATTCATCTGCGCATTGTTCTCTTCAAATAACATTTACTCAATATATTACCAATTATCAATAACACTACTCAAGCAATACCAATGGCTGCCTCCAATCCTTCCTCCAACAATAAGGTCAAAGCCAGAACCCTCAACGTCTCAGGCCCGATGGACGTGTATGAAGTCGTCAGTCATCCCAAATCTGTTACCTTCATGCTTATACCAATACTCATATTTCTGGTTTGATCGTTTTTGCCGTAATTTCAACTATCTTTTACCTATTCATTTTTTTCGTACCTACGCCATTAAGTTGGCTACCGAGTCAACCGCTTCGTATCCACTGAGAGACGCTTACAGTTCAATTGTTTGCAAAGGTCTCAGTGGAGACAATCCGTACGAATATCAAGTTAAGGTATCAGCCTACGCGAATGAGTCTAGCTTATTAGAAGCAGACGGTGTGTATGTACTTAAGTCCAGAATGGTTGCTCCAAACCTCGAAGACTCTATTCTGACTTTGTTTTATGAGGTTGATCATGCCATGTTAGTTACTACCTCCAAAGACGTCAAGGGTTCCTTGGCAAACAATACAGCTGTCTCCGGTCTTGGTTTGATTATAGACCGATTCACCATCCAAGAAGATGTATATGATAAGCCTACCTTGGTAGCTATTGTCCAACATTCTGATTACGACAACGCGGTACGTATTTTGTACCTTTATTCTTCTTCGCAATATCTGACGAAGCCTCTCGATTCTAGGCCCGTGAGATGATTGTTTTCAATGTTGCCTACTACGTACGTCCGGTTAGAAACCTCCTTGCGATCCAGACTCTCTTCCAAGTCAATCGCGAGGCTGTCATATCTGGTTACATAGTTGATTTTGATGCCAATAATAACCGCTTCATGTGTGATGTGAGTACATCTGTTTTATGCCCTCCCTTCGATAGATTGGTCGCCTTTGTCCTAACCAAGTTTGCATCTAAGGTGACCGGTATTAACCTCACATCGGGGCCAGAGAGTGGCAAGGCCTCAACAACCGCCATCAAAGTCGAGGACACTGTCCAAACCCCATCCGGTCGTTCGCGCGGAAAGTTGTTAGTCTTCTCGATTACCTTTAACTGCTCAGTGTTTCTATGTTGATTCCTGTGTTATTCTCAGTTTCAAGAAAGGAAAATCGACAAGCAATGATAAGAAGCAGATAGAATCGCCTGCGGAAGAGGCTGAAGCGTCAGGCAAAGGTCACAAGAGAGTCAAAAAAAACCCTTGAGTGAACTTTCACAACATGGGTTTTGAAATTAGTGTTATTTTTGTTTCATCACTTTATTTAACACCTTCCACCATGATTCTGTAATGCGTTGGTTTGCCTGTTCCCTTGCATTTCATTGTCTATTGTACTACCAGTCAACGTTTAGCCAATCCCATGGAGTGTAGCTGGAATATCGAATCCTCTTTGTAAATTGTGTATCAATCGCCCTCTGCGCATTGCATCGTGACCCTTTTCTGCCGAGACTAAAAAAATGGTAGGCATTGATGCCTTCACCGACCTTGCACACACTTTGAACCGACCTAATAGCCACCGGACCCTCCAATTTCCCTCCAGTTTTGACTTTCTTGCCACGTAGCATTAATGATTGTTAATCTTTTTGTTCAATGCTTGACTATGGATTGTAACCCGCACCGTGAGAGTGTGTGCTTTCTAATTTTGAGTTGATAACGTCTTTCAAGACATTGATACAATCTTACCTTGAGATACTCACTTGCGCCGATTTGACTATATCAAACTTGAAAGACAACTTTGGCATGTGGTCAAAATGTAAACACAAATCTGGCAAATACAGTCCAGAGCGAAATTGGGTTTTCACGTATGTTGATGCTGGTGATCAACAATGCTACCGGGTCCAAAGCTATCGTAAATGCGTTGGATCGAGTGGAAATACCGCTCATCAGGTGAAAGACTTTTACGCCCATGGGTCCTTTGCCTTTTCCGGAAAAGCACTAAAAGCGCTCACTCAATAGTAATGCCTGCATCAACAATCGGTATCAAAAAATAGTCTACAAGAACATTTGTAGCTACTTCAACTAACTTTTTATATATCACTGCTTACAACAACATTACTGGTTCACCCCTTACAAATCCAGCATTGTCTCCTTATTACCTGAACATCAACTATCAACTTTTCCAAACCGAAATCAAATACTAAAAAGAAATCTTACAATAGTGATCCAAATACCGATTAACAAATCATCTCCGACTCATAATGCCCTTGATTGTTAGGGGACCCATTTCGAGATCGGAGCAAGCCTTGAAAGAAGCTTTACCAGGTCTCCTTCATTCAAATGTCGGTGAATGTGACTCGATATGCGAAACTTGCCATGCCCTTCACTGGGCAAACGAAAGGACAAAGAAACTTTGAGGTACTAAAATTCACAAGTACACATCCTGTTGCCAGGGCGGAAAGGTGTTGCTACCTGAGCACTACTTTCCTCAACGGAAAGTCCCTGAAATTATTACATGGCTCCTCACTTCCCCTCATCCAGGTCAGGAAACTTTCCTTGGGTTAAGAATCCTTGAACTTCAATACTGACATGCACAATTTCTTAGATGCCATTGCTGCTAGGTTGCGTATCCGGGACTATAATAATGTGTTATCCTTTACCTCAATGGAAGCTAAGGACATAGACCGGTCGGTAGCTGGCCAAAAGGGAGTTTTCACATTTCGATTGAATGGACAACTCCATCATAAGGTAGGATCTACCTTACCAATCAAAAAGGACACTCCATGTTTTTCTCAAATATATACCGTAGGAGACGGTGGAACGGTAGAGGCCCAAATGCGACAAAAGCATCACAACAACGAGTTGAACAATCATTTACTGCTCAAACTTCAATCGGCTATTAATAAGAGTAACCCTTACGCAGAACTGTTTAAGAACGTGAAGGAATTACTGCGTAGAGATAAAGGCAGCAAATTAGTTATTAAATGTATGAAGCCGGGTAAGAAAGACGAGTTAAAGCGATATAACTTGCCAACCGTTAAAGAAGTGGGGATGGTTATTCCCGGAGATGGAACTGTAGACAAAAAGGAACGCAACTTAGTCTTGGAGCGACGGGATGGCAACTTAATTACAATCACTGACATGCATACAGGATACTTACCCATGAGGTATGTTTTGTGCTTCCCAGGTGGTGCTCAACAGTGGTCCGAACACTATAAGTCACCAACGGGGAAAAAGAAGAGAAAAGCAGATGGTACTGAGGCAGAGGGTATGCACAACTTTTGCCTCTTCAAATAAAAGATTGATACTGACTTTTTATGCAGTTGCCGATAAGCGAGTAAGCAGTTTACAATGGTTCGCCTGGCTTTTGTTCGAGCGTAACTCGAAATTTTCTCCCCTACTTCATTGTCGCAGCTTGCTACAAGAGCTCATTGTGGACCTATACCTATGTGTTGAACGCGGTCGCCTATGTTACTTTGACATCAATCAAGAAAAGATGAAAGCGGAAAAGTACAAGCATATCTTAACTGACAAGGAACAAGATGTAGAAGTAGTTGGTCGGAAAGTCGTACTACCGGCTTTGTTTATTGGTGGACCTCGCCATATGCGGGCTCTGTATCAAGACTCGATAGCTTTGAGTAGAAAGTATGGAAAACCTTCTCTATTCTTAACCATGACCGGCAACCCTAACTGGCTTGAAATTCAAAATGCCTTGCAATACGATGAAACAGCCTCGGATCGGCCTGATATTGTAGCAAGAGTGTTTAAGCTGAAGTTAACTGAGCTATTGGAGGATTTGACTGTGCATAATCGATTGGGTGTAGTAGCTTCTTGGGTGTACGTTATCGAATTTCAGAAGCGCGGGTTGCCCCATGCCCATATCATACTTATCATGGACTCGCAGTATACACCAACTACCGTTCAAGACATCGATGATTTAGTGTGTGCCGAAATCCCTGACCCGACGCAAGAGCCCCTTCTACATGAGCTGGTGACGACTTCAATGTTGCATGGCCCATGTGGACCAGGTTTGAAGAGCCCGTGTTGGAACTCCGAAAAGAAAAATTGTAGGAAGAAGTTTCCTAAAGCCTTTCAATCAGAAACAAAGATGAACGAGAATTCTTATCCGCTTTATCGACGTCGTGACAACGGAAGATCTTTTGTTAAGCAAGGATTCACATTTACTAATCAACATGTCGTTCCATACAATCGGTTTTTACTCATGAAATATAAGTGCCACTTTAATGTAGAAATTGCACAAGGTATTTGTGGTTATAAATATATTTATAAATATATCTCAAAAGGTCATGACTGTACAAACTTGGAATTAAGGCAAGCCGAAGACCTGGATAATGTTGAAATTGAGGATGACTCCACAACTTTAGCCACAGCAACTTCAAACGGCAAGAAAAAGGTACCAGCTCGAAACGAAATTCGGGAATATGTCAAGGGTTGTTATATAGGTCCGGTTGAAGGTTTGTCTGCGTTACCTTGCCTGTTTATAATACACTGACGCTTTACTTTACAGCTGCTTGGCGTTTATTTCAATACGACCTAGCTGGACGATCGCCGGGAGTGTACAACTTACCTGTTCATTTTCCGGATGAACAGGACGTCTACTTCTGGGATGAAGCTGAGCTGGAAGATCAATTGGAAAGTGGTGAAGCCAGCAAGACTATGTTGGTCGACTATTTTTGACTGAATGCGGAGGGGGCTATTGGCCGGGAGAGAAAAAACGTTCGTGATCTCTTATATGAACAAGTGCCAGATCATTTTTCTTGGACAAAGCAAAAAAAATGGAAGGCACGTGTTCCGAACATACCATGCGCGACCCGACTAAGCTATGCCAGCCCAAAGGAAGGTGAAAGGTTTTTTTTACAAATTCTGTTAGGCCATGTTAAAGGTGCAACATCTTTCCTTCATTTAAGGACCGTGAACGGCGTCATTTGCAACACTTTTAGAGACGCCGCGTTGAAGCTTGACTTATTAGAGTTGGATAATCACTATGATTACTGTCTAAGAGACGCATCTTTTTGGATGACTGGAAGACATCTAAGAGAGTTATTTTCAATCATAGTTGTACATAATAATCCAGCTGACCCGAACGCGCTGTGGGAAAAACATCAAGACTCACTATGCGATGACTGTGAGTATCACCTTCTTCAAAACGGTTTTGATGGTTGTCCGACAAAAGAAGACATACTAGCTTGGGGCCTTTACAACATTTGTTGTCTTACGGACCAGATGGGTGGAACTTGGTCATTGTACAATTTTTGTGGATATGACGTGGACCGTATCAACTCAATCCGAAAGAAGGTTGATAATGAAGACGCAAAGAAAGAGGCTCGACTGCAAGCGAATCAAGACTTTGTTGATGAACATTTGCCGTTACTGAATGCGGAGCAATCGTACATCTTTCAAGATATCATAAATGGTTTAAATAATAGTAAACAAAAGTTGTGTTACTTAGATGGACCAGGTGGTACAGGAAAAACATTTCTTTTGAATACTTTACTTAATTACTTGGAGGCAAAAGAAATTAATACAATTGCTGTGGCTTCTTCGGGAGTAGCAGCTCAGCTTCTGTTAAACGGAAAAACGGCACATTTTGGTTTCAAGATTCCTTTTAAGCACGACTCGAAATCAGTATGCAGCTTATCAAGTAGGAATGATTTTGGCAAGCGAGTTAAAAACGCAAAATTCATAGTGTGGGACGAGATCTCCATGCAACATATGGATCACATTAACGCCGTAGATCGAAGCCTAAAACATTTGCTGAACGATAGTAGACCATTTGGTGGAATTTCAGTGCTGTTTTCTGGGGACTTTAGACAAACTCTTCCAATTGTACCTAACGGAAACTTACAAGATCAATTAAAGGCATCGCTGAAAGCGACCAACGTTTGGGATATGCTCAAGAAATACAAATTATCAAGGAATGTCAGGTTGTTAGGAACCGGAGAGCAGCAAAGTATAGAACTCACCAGTTTTGCTGATTGGCTGCTCAAACTTGGAGGAGGCGAACTGCAGGAAGATTCAGAAGCCATTGTTAGCATTGATCGCGTAGACACCCACATTGTGTCTCCCGGTGTCGAGGTTGACACCAAATTGATTGACTGGTTATACAACAACTTACCGATGTTGAGTAGGACCGGTTCTTGGGATGACATGGCTATTTACTTTTCAGATAGGATGTTAATCACTCCACTCAACAAGACAGTTAGAAGAATTAACCGGCTCTTAAGTGACCGCATTGGGGGCGAAGTTCTGGTCTCCACGTCGGTAGATGTTATAGACGAACAATCATATGAACCAATTGGGGAGGAATACTTGAACACCGTTTGCCTTACAAATTTCCCAGACCACAAACTGAATCTTCGTCGAGGCCTACCCATCATATTATTACGGAACTTGAACGTTGCAGATGGGTTGTGTAACGGAACCAGGTTACTCATTCTCGATTTCTTTGACCGTGTGTTACAATGTAGAGTCCTGTCTGGACCTAAGAGTGGCCAAACCATCTTCTTACCAAAGGTCTGGCTAATACATGAACCCGACGAAGCATTGTCAATCAGATTTTCCCGACAACAGTTTCCAATAGCCGAGGCCTTTTGCTTAACTATCAACAAAGCACAAGGGCAGAGTTTGAACAAAGTTGCCGTGCTGCTGCCTGAACCGGTCTTTGCGCACGGGCAATTGTACGTAGCTTTGTCTCGGTGCAAGTCAATAAACCAAATGATGGTTTCTCTGGCAACAACATCAACCTTGCCTAAGACAAAGAACGTTGTCCTGAAAGAAGCACTGTTGGACTAAGGTGAAGTTGGGAACACCAAATTAGTAAGTGAGTTAACTACTACACTTCTTGGTTGAAAATGACCAGCGTTCGGTCAGTTGAGCTAATTTCTTTGTGACTAATAAATTTCTGACACAAGCCCGTACTAATACTGTAGAACCCAAGTATGTTTTGGGCAAAAAACTTTGTACCTATTAGCTTCTCATGTGGATTAAATTATGTGTCAAATGAATTGTAAAGACCAATGTACTTTCTTGCGCTGATTTCACTCATTGAGAAACATATTTTGGGACATTTGTTTTTTGACGTGAGTGAATTCCACCAGAGGCACTTAAGTTGACCTTAGTAAGTATTTACCTACCGTGAGGTGTTAGTGGGTTTGTGGCAGCTTAGTTCAAGCCACGCACATCGTGAACGGTAATGATTCTTGACGTTTGTGAAGCCTGAGTATAATTTTGGACAGTAGCCCAACAAGCTCTCACTAACAGTACAAGATAAGATTACACCAACTTTGTACTACGTCGTGACTCGGTGGGGTTATACAACCAATTCAAAGAAGCAATAATTGCATTGGGTTAAGTCGAGATAACAAACAGTAACATAAGCTGACAAAACTAAGTTACGGCGACGCGACGAAAGACGATTTTGTATAACATGGTCATGCTGCCCAACAGCAGAAGCCGGCATAAATAATGTGTTGCAATGTTTGGGAAGAAAATTGAAACCTATTGAATCACCTGGGAAAGATAAGGATCCAATGGTTTGACAAAAATAACATATACATAAGGACTGCCTTGGTCCGGAAGGTGTGCTCGGAAGTAATATAGTACATAGGTGATGGCTTTGCAAAGGACAAGTTCCTGTAATAACACACGGTCTTTGAGAGGCCGGGACACCTAAATTTTAATACTGTGTGAGACACCTGCTTTATTATGGTGTTGGTCCAATGTGTCTGCATTGTAACACTTCTCAAAAATTGCTGTAAATGACCAAACTTAACAAAGTCCCTCGCCAAAGGCCCGAGCCCCAGCGAGGGACTTACCCCATAAACTGGAATCCTGGCGTGAGAAGTGAGCTGTATTTGCTCCAAATTCTCTACATCTGTTTGTTTTTTTTCTCTCTCAACAAACATGTCTTGCAACAAAGAAAGAAGAAAAAGGCAAGGGACCATTACATATGTACCAATTGCAAACTCCTTTCTATCTTTTTGGGAAGTTATCTTTTTGAGTAGTTGAAGATCAATTATTTTGACCGCTTTCTGAGAAATACAGGCTTTGAGCCGGCTCGCCGCTGCTGAAAATTGAAAACAGACCCATTTTTGATTCCCCAGTAGCCCAAGTTCCAGACCAGATTTGGGGAAGCTTGCAATTGGCTCATATGTAATGAATATTTGCCATCATCCTTTTATTTACCTCCGAGACCTGTTTATTTAGGAACAAATCAAAGAATTCAAAGTAGCGTTTTTTGAGCCAATACAGGCTACTTCTCACGCCAGGATTCCAGTTTATGGGGTAAGTCCCTCGCTGGGGCTCGGGCCTTTGGCGAGGGACTTTGTTAAGTTTGGTAAATGACACTCAAATCATGTGTATACAAAGATACATACTATGTGGCCCACGTCGTGCAGTTCTGCAGGTGCGGGCATGCCCGCATGTTCTCTAGTTCTATCAAATGTTTGTGCGGAATGTTGAAGCGATACATGAAAATATTTACCAACCTCTTTCACGATGTGTCTAAGGTGGCTGATGGATACTTGGATCTCATGACTCTCTTGAGTCTTCGTCGAGGTCCATGGCCCCAAGTTTGATTACAAAGTATGGAATTCGAAGTTTAAACGCTCGAACAAATGCTCAATACGAGGAGATTTCACTACAAGAACTATGAACAAGTTTAGTCAGCCAGGACTTTAACCAAGTCATACGCTGCAAGGAGCCTGAAAAGTTCCATAGCGTCGAGAATTCACAAATCGCGAGCGGTCTTACGTTATCTAACTTGTGCATCGTTTGCGGTCGGATCGATCTTTCAACAAAAATCAGTGTAAATTCGTACTTGAATTCATCAAGCAAACACCCCCAAGGTGCAAGCGGTTCAACGCGACGGCATTTCCATCCAGCACACGAGCGTGCGTGCTCCGATATATCGATAAATTTGCTGCTTTGGTTCGGAATGTCCGAAGCGTCTCCCTACTATGAGTAGTCTCAGCCTCGCTCATCCCCCAGGATACCTCTCAATTTCCCGGCTAGAAGTCCATGTGATTTCACATCGAAGTGAAGTGTTGAGTACTCCTCCCCGCATTGCTATGCTGCCGTGAGAAATGGGAGCCGTACTACCGTTCTCGAAACCTGAGTTTTTGGATGAACAAACTTCACTTGACAAATCCTCTCCGGTTTCCTGCTCCCGATACTCAACTACCCTGATTGCACTCTGTATACGTGGAGACGTGATTCTCCAAGATCGTGATTCTCCCGAGACGGGTGCAAAGTTTACCTGCTAACTTAATAATATCTTTTGCGTATCAACGTCCTTCCGCTTTGTTTTCATCTCGAAGCGTCAAGGTACTCCCATTCTTACCCATTTTTCTGTGTTGGGAAACCGTCTTGCCATTTGGAGGTTGCAACGCTTCAACAACATCTTCAAGTACTCGATTCAGAAAGTGGGTAGTTGCGCTTTAGTCAAGGATTGAGGATCTCGAGAACACAGGTGACTGAACTGCTTACCATCGAAAGGCAAAACCATCAAGACGTAATGTATCTTCCTTCTTCCTCATAATTCACTTCACTAAACAAGTCTGCACAGGTTGCTTTCAATCTGTTGTAGCTGTGCCAAATGTCCACGTACTGATTACCATTCACTTTCTGTCTTCGCAAATGATCAGTGTCATCGGAGCCATAGGATCATAACTAACATCTAAAGAGGTGGATAATACCGTGATATGTCGAATACATCTGACAGATTGAGTTGTCTGACATTGAAGGGTGAAGAAGAAATAAAACCAATGATGGAGCTGGAGAAGCCATACCCCACACATCAAACACCACGACATCCCCCTCGGCACCCACTACGGCACTCGGCACAATCAGAATATACGCTAAACGTCCCAGACTCAGCTGAGAACTCCCCGACCCAAGAAAGTCACACTATTCGCCCGCCATTTCTCCGTGATCACACTAACCGGCAGAGCGCATGCTCAGATATCACGGAAGAATTCCAAGGACCAGAAAATGGAAGTGATGGAGAATGTTCGGTCGTTTATGATGATTTGATGGGCAACACATCTGACCCTCTCCATTCTATTGAGAAAGTTTACCCTCGGCAAGGAAGGTCGAGATACATCACGGAAACTGGTAATCCGTTCACGATATGGTCACTGCGAGGATGGCTCAACTTAGGTGGGTACTTTCAAGCCTTTCACGTATGACAGAAACTCCTTCATGCTACACGATCACGTTTTGGATCCATAAGTCGAATGCATATGACTCACTCATTCCCTGTTTTCTTCTGAACTTTATATCAATAGGAGCTGTGACGTTCTTGTTTGTTTTACTCATCGGCCTTTTTGCATGTTTGTCTCCCTTGAATTTCCGTATCAGCTTTAAATTTACTCATATTTTTTGTTTTTTATTAGTGTTGCCCATATATCAATACGCCACTCGAACAGCTACATCACTCGATGACAAGACTCTTGAACTTTCGAGACAAAGCGGGCCTTTCGAAGTCTCACAGCTTCCCCAAAGGCTTCAAACGTAGTGACCTTTTTCAACCAGGCGTTGCTCCTCATCCTCCCTAAATTTTTTCATGTCAGCTCTGATTCCAAGGGGGCCGGGCGTGAAGACGAGTTTTTGACACCGCTTTGATTTCTTCAGCCGACGGGAGCTCGATAACTCATCTCTCATTTTGGAGCGTTCGCCTTCTTAAACCTCGATTTGTTTTCATTTTACCTTTAGACATTCAGCTTTCTCCCATTGCACTTCAACTTTCCTTCCTCTGCATATTCAGAATAAATCATCGTTAGGAAATGCTTGTATTATATTGTAATATTCTCCATCATACTGTTACATTTATAATTCAATTTATCCTTCATGTTTCTCTTTCTTGCACTATGTTGATGTGATTTTTACACTTCCTCAGCCTAGATCTCTGGGGCATCTGTTGCCAACAGATGCCCCAGTGCAAGACCCCAACAGTGTTGGGGTCTTGGAATTTGAGTTCAACATATTTTGATTTTTTTGCTGGAATTTGAAAGAAGATCCCTAATACACCCAACAGCTTCCTGATAGTTGAAGCCTGACGTAACACAAGTCCCAACTTCTTGCAGGGCACTTTTGGTAACTCATAAGTCCATAGCTTGAGAGGTCAAAGTATCTGACTGACTTGGTTAAATGATAGTTGAAGCCCTCATGTCAAAATTTAAATGGGTTTTGATAAAATACACCTGCAGACATCCAATTTGGAAGGGTAAGGGTGTGGCAGTATCTCCCCCTATGTGAGACGTAAGACTTTCTGTGAGACCCGAAAAACATATTCTTCAACCAAGCTTAATGATGGATTTTGAATCTGATGAAGTATGATACTTGTTCAAGAAATGCCCAATTCTACAAAAGGAATTCCTTGGAGTTGCCCATATCTGTATTCTAGGGAGGAATTGGATCCAGCTCTTTAGCGTGTCTCTGTTGTTGCCACATGAACAACCACCACAAACATCATACTGACCACATTAGGGGGTTTCAAGTTTGATTATTTTTTACATATTTTTCAAATATTCAGACAAGCTGTTCATAAAAAGATCTTTGTGAAACCATCTTATCTTTAATTTGAGACAACAACAAAGGTGTCCTGCTTTAAAAAATGCCATACATTTTACAACAATAGGGGGTTTCAAGTTCTTAAAATCTTACGGTGTTTTGTTCTGCAAATACAAGGTTGACAGCATTTGGGATACCTAAAAAGGTGTCCCAAATATTTAATGTTTATGGTAAATTTTACCGTCTCAGAGAAATTGTTATACTGTAAAAATACCGTAAAAAACACAACTCGGAACCCCTAATTCTATCTAAGATAAAACTATCCTAACCCGCACAGAAACCCTCTCACACCCATTAAAGCAAACCGTAAATGCAAAAAAAACTTTCAAAGTGTAATTTTTCTCTCTCTCTTGAAATGTCATGTAAATACAAAAAAATAAAAATCAATGAAAAATATATACATATATATATATTTTAATCTTGAAATCATAACTTCAAAATTGTTAAATTCTGAATAATAGAAACACCCTCCTTTATCTTCAACTTTGCTTCTTATCATCTCCAATTTATATATATATATATAATCTACTACCATCTTTCTCTTCCAAATTGAAAAAAGCAAAAGAACAAAAAAAATTGAATAAACCTTGTTAAATATGAAAAAGATTACTAATGAGAGTGATGCTACAAAAGAAAAAATCCAACTCCTTCAACTTCTTCCTTTCCTCTCTCTCTCTAACCCCCCAAAAAACTCTTTATTCATTTATAATAATCTCATCATCATCATCTTTCTTTTTATTTAAATCTTCCTTTTTCTTTTTCTTCTTCAAATCTTTTCCATTATTCTCTACACCATTTTCAACATCATAACTGCGAAAAAAAACACCAAACCAAAAAGAGAATCAATACTTTTGTTTCCAATTTTCACTCAAAAAAAAGAAACGAAAAAAAAGAAACACTGAACAAACTTTTTCAATCTCCTTTCTTCCAAAAACTTTTCATCTCTAACTTTTTCAATCCATTTTCCAATTCCTTTAGCACAAATTTTAGAAGTAAGATAATGAGAATACCAACTAAGGATTGCAGGATAAGCTGATCTTATCATCAAATAAATACATTCTCCTTTTTTAATTGATTCATCTCCCCATCCAATTAATCTCATTATAAATTTTAATCTTCTTTCTGGTATGATTAACAAAATCGGTCCTAAAATTCCTGTTGGTAAACTTATGGCTAAGATCATTTTAATTGTGATTGGTAAGATTATTTTAAGATTTGTAATTTGAATTCCTTCTAAAATTTCACCTCGATTCCAACATGCCAACACCTACAAAAGGGAAACATCAGTTCATCAGTTTTAAATCCAATCCAATCTGTTTCATTTTGGTCAGAGCCTCTTACCTCATCTTGAGCACGCGACACCCAATTAGGTACCACTCTAGCTAATCTAGCCGCAATAGACAAATAAATACAACCATAAGCCCAAGTTTGTACTAGATAAATCGTAGGAATTCCTAATCCTTTAGGCTTCAAAGGTCCTAAAAAGTATAATTCAATGAAACCTGTTAATAAAATCGGCAATAGAAAACCAACTCCAAATATAAATCCAATTAGATTGATCATTTGAATCAACTTTTTATACCAATTGATTTTCTCCTTGATTTCTACTTCTTCTGTTTCTTCTGTACGATTAAATGTAATGAGTTTCCTAATAAATTTACCAATGACAGCTACTACTAATGATCCAATCCCATAAGCATAAACATCATGAGGTTCTCTTCCATGAACCATAATCACTCTATCAAATATCAATCTACCAACCATCAATGGAATTCCAATCCCTAACCAACCAAAGGTTACACCAATGCTCCACATCGAAATCACATATCCAATCATCCTGATCCTAAAGAATGGTGGTAGATAAACTACAGTATAATGATCAACATCACGTCCAGTTTCAGCTCGAGCTTCTGCTTTTTGTTGTATAATTAAAAGTTCATCAGCTGGATTGATTGGCGTTCCATTCGCAAGCACTGGTATATGCATCTTTCTTCCAGGTACAACTTTGACTGAATCTGTTCCTGGGACTCTAGCAAACGATCCACCTGCTGATTTTCTTCTTCTTTCAATAGTAGTACCAGGTTGGATTTCTTCTAATGATTCAATTTGATCTGAAGCACAATTGTGTTGATCATCTTCAAAGAATCTCATTACTGAATACCAAGCCCTAGGTTTTTTCAAAATTGGTTCTCTACCTGGCATTCTAATCATCACTTCTAATTTGGTTTCTTCTTCAATTTCTCTTTCTCCATAAAGAAAACAACTCAATCTGAATCTTTTAGCTACTTTTTTACTTATGATCTGTAATGTTTGTTTTAGTTGATTTCTAGGTTGAATCCAATAAATGAAAATCGGTAAACCAGTTTGATAGATGACTAAATCGATTGCAGAGTTGGAGATGGATCGGTCTAAATGTACTCTGAGTGGTAAACAACCTATAAAGGTCATTAAACTTATCACAATCGATCCGATTCCTAATGCGATCACTGTTCCATACATTAATGCGGATGCTAAGATCTTCTTTACTTGACTCCATGCCGGTCTTTCTAAGATTTCTCGTATCGGATTAAATCGATCATCAGAAGGATCTCGGATCCACCAACAAACACCAGACCTAAGAGATTCCCTACAAGTAGAAACCAAAATAGCAAAGGTGAACATAAAACAAGTACCAGCCAGCCAAGTAATTAAAACTGTTGAATAAGGCGAAACACTATAAAGGTCTAATCGATTTGAAATAGTTGTATTAGGAAAGACTGGAATGGTTATAAGTATAATTAAAAAACCACAAAGGAATGGAAAGATGACTAATTCGATAAAGATAAATGTTCCCACTTTGGCGATCATCACTTGTTGTTTCATTCCATTCACAATGGTTTGACTTACAAATCTAGCTCTTTGTTGATCTAATCCCGATGAAAGGTAAATTAAACTTAAAAACACTAATTCTGCATAACCTAATAGAACGGCTAAAGCTCGATCGAGTGGTTTAGTACCATATGCGATTTGCTCTAATTTTCCACCTAATTGATCCATAAGTTGATGCCAGACTGGACTTAGTGATATGATCCGATTGAATTGAGATTGGAGGTAATGAACACCAGATTGGAAATAACTCGTGGCATTGTGTGTGAACCATGAAGGGGTCCATGGAACGGCTTTGACTGATTCACTATTGTCTTTGATCATTGGCATAAAGCGTGATAATGAAAATCTTGAATGAAAGTCAATTCGAGCGAGTTGTCGTTTAAGTTGTACCGAAACGTAATCTAAACTAAGATGTACAAATCTTCGTAAGATTAAAAGTCCCTTCAAAGGTGGTGCCAAGAGTCGATGAGCTCGAGACTGAAGTACAAAACAATATCAATTCATCAAATTCATCTACTATAGCTGATCGAAACAAGTATCATGAAATCACTTACCAAGACTGCAATCTTTCCAATCATATGTGGTATATGAACAAAAGCCAAAATAGATAATGATAACAATAAAGTCATCAATCCCACATTCTGTACCAACATCAACAAACTACCTTTCATTCCAATCAATTCCAAAATGCCATCTAGGTCTTCTGCCAATAATTCTTCTTCTACTTCATCTTCGGGAGCAGCCGCAGGAGGAGCAGCCATATTAACAGGTCCTACAGCATTTGGTGGTAAACGGTTATTCCGATCTAGATTTTGGGCTTGATCAAATTCATTTAATCGAGCTTGCATCATTGCAAGATGTCGTCGATCAAGTCCTGGCGCTACTTGTAATGGAGGGTTTGGAGCTTGTTGAACTCGATTTCCAACAGGTGGGGGAAGCATAAATCGACGAGGTTGGTTTCTAGGTGGTATTGGTCTCACTACCCGATCAACCACTGGACGATGTGTTCCTAATCCAGCATTCGGCTGTGGACGAGTCGGATTGGCCTCATTGGCTTTGGGCAACTCTTCTCCTACCTCTAACCAATTGAACGCATCGGTATGAGATGTTGTGGTGGGTAAGGGAATGGAAGATGAAGGTCCTGCGACCGGGGCTTCGGTCTCTTTGATCTTCCCCTTTAAATCCTCTCCTTTGTTCGCGCTGTTATCAACAACACCGCTCCGATCTGAAGGAAGCACTTTGAGTTCCATACCAATGTCATCAACGTCGAGCAAATCCTCATTCATAAGCTAAAACACACATATATATGCAGTTAGTGGATGGAACAATGCGGAAATAAGACTCCAAGACAAACCATTGCAGTAGCATATCGTCCAAAACCCTCATGTTTGACAATACGATATAATACTTGTTGACGAGCCAAGATTCCAAGGATCCCGCGCCTCATACGAACCACAAATTGATTTGCTGGACCCTTATCGATAGGTAGAGCCTTACAAGATTCAAGTAAGAATTGAGTAGATCGAACGACTTCAAAGACTCCTTTTTGAAGTTGAGCACTGCTACATTCTGCTAATTTGACCTCTACAGCACGATGTAATGCTCCATGTAAACTTTCATAATTTATTTGATGAAATCCTTGATTAGGTTTCATTAATGATTTCAATTTTTCATAAGTTTTGATTAATTGACAAATCAATTTATTCCCTTCAGATTCATAAAGAGTTGATGCAAAGTCAATGATCACTTCATCATTCAAGAAGACTGTTAACCAGTCCATCTCAAGTTTTTGAAATGATCTTGCAAGAGCTGAGCTTGAGAACTTAGATACTCTTGAGATATGTTGACGAAAACCTGTCAATTCATTCTTAGTTTCATCACTCAAAATCATCGAGGTAGCAAATTTTGACCAAAGTCCTGTGATATTCTCTTCATCCCATCCCACTGGTGATCTGTTCAACATATTCATGACTTGTAGAGCTGGCGGAAGTAAGGTCTTGTAAGAGGGCGGTAAGAGTAATAGATAAGCCGATGTAACGAGAAGCCGATGATTGACAGAGGTCGGGAGTAGTCGGTCGCTTATCTCATGGTTGAAGGAGCTATGTGGGATTGGTGAAGTCGTCGTGAAAGAGTGTTTTCTCGGAGAAACTTTCGATGTAGATTTAGGATCATGATCACCGGGTGTAGAGACAGCCTTAGGCATCTGAAGTATCGAAGACTCCTTGCTCAGCAAGTTTTGCTTACAAAGCTAGAGAGTAAAAGGATTAGTACGCATGCATATCAAAATATTGCGCATCTAAAAAAGACCTACAATGTCTTGAGCATACTTTACAAACGCTCCACTTCTCATTACTGCACCCAAGATTCGCTGCTTAACCAGCATGGATACAAGATCTCGTTTCATATCCTGAATTAGCTTCACACTATCATCTCCAACTTCTCCAGATGGAAGTACTTGATAAGTTTCTGCAAGTTTCTGAATATCAAGTTCGAGTTGATTCAGACAAGGATGCATGTCGATTGATCCCATGGCTCCTAGAAGTGGAACCACAAACAACTTTAAAGCGTTGAAGACAGTTAAATAAGGTCGCGATGTTTCTTCATTCGGATGGTGATCACCTTCATTGACTAATTCGAGACCTTTGATCAGATTAAAAAGTGTTAAGAGACCATACACCAAGGCATGATGATGAAAGACATCTGTCAAAGGACTCTTGTTCGCATCAAGTTTGATACGGTAAAGTGATTGGATATGCTTCCCGATCTTGGGATCACTCAAGAGAGCTGTTGTCCAATCCGTTTCGAGTTGATTGAACATGGTCTCCTCATCCTTCGAGAATGGACCAGATGTAGGTTGTCGTCGCATGTGTTCTCTGAGCCGACTTACAGAAACAGGCAGAGTGCCTGTAGAAGGGTCCAACAGGGTAGAGGCGAGCTTGGTCCAAATTTGGACCAGTTCCGTTTGCATAGGTGTTATGGAGCCAGGTTGATGAGATGATGTCGTGAATTGATGTGAGGTGGGCTCAGCGATAAAGATGATATAAACAGAACCGATCAGCACTTGATGAGATAAGATATCAGGATTGATTGATTGATCGAGATTGTTTGAATCCATAAGATCCGAATCATCGATGTTAAGGGGATCTGATTCTGTCGAAAATTGATGAAAGATGGCATCTGAGCTATCCGAGTCGGATGAAGTGATAGAAGTTTCCTCAGTCGAATTGATCGGAGGTCTCGGAGTAGGGGCTATAATCCGATCTGAGTTATCATTGGGATTTGGCGGTTGTTCGACATTCTCTATTTGAGCTGGACGGTTGTTGATACCCTCAGCTAGTGGTCGAGGTAGATTTTGAGGCGCATCATCTTCCTCTAAGTGCATGACGTCATGTGGAGGAGTATTTTGAAGGATCCACTCGCGTAATAAGAAGACGGCGACAAAACTAAGAATGACAGCACAAGTGATCAGTTGACCTTGAAAGATATCCATCGCGATGGAATTGGTGTCAAGTTGGATTGAAAGTAAACTAAATGAATTATGTAGGTTAGTTGGATTGGTTGAGTTTGAGTCTGATGAATTTGAAGTAAGCTGAACATCAGTTGAGTCAGTAGAATTCAAACCATCGGAAGTTTGATTGTGACTTTGTTTGTATTCTGAAAGAACAAAGGCATAAGTGAGTCACATATCAATAAGAACAGAATACTTGATTAGAATGACACTAACTCAAGTCACTTCCTGAAGTAAGACCAAATGCAAACCAATCTCCTAATCTCCAATATCCTGCAGAAACCCAAACCACAGTCCAAGGAACTAGACCAAGCCAACACATTGCCACTAGAGTTGCTCTACCGATAAGTAAGATGAGGCGAAGAAATTCTTTTAGAGCTTGATAGATAATCGTAGGAATCGGTGGACGATCAGGTGAGCCAGTTTTATAAACTTTTTCAAAACTAAAAGGATGAGCACAAAGTTCACATGAAGATTTCTTTGAATGAGATAACCAAGTTGAAAGGCAATCTTGATGTACATGAGCAATTGAACCAGTACAACGACATGGATGAAAGAGAGGACCTAAGGAAGGGTCATCAGATCTACAAACCCTACAGACAGGTTGTTCAGTATCTTGATCGTTAATGTGAGTTGAAGTGGTTGGATTTGATTCGATCGTAGCTGGTAATGAATCAAATGCAGATGAAGATGCTGAAGTGGATGAAGAAGCGACAGAAGATAATGATGAAGATGAAGAATGAAGTGTTACTTTGGCGTTGTGGTTAGATGACATGATGATCGATGTTCTTGATGTTGTTCGTGGTCTTGTTCTTGATGTTGCTGATGTTCTTGTGATGAGAAGTGGTGATGAGAATGCTGAGTTAAATGCTGAATGCTGCACACGGCACCACCAGCACTGACTCGGGATTGTTTTTTAAGTGCATACGGTAAACCCGAGTACGTACCCCAGGCCCGCCCCGCAGGAGACCTATCTAAGTCCCTGGCGCGGCCCGCAGGTACGGTACCTGGTACGTGCCACGCAAGTTGAACTGATAAGTTTTGCCCTGCAGAGATTTTGGGTCCAAAATTGTGGTGTTCAAACTTCAAAATTCATTTGTGCCAAGTAATGAATAGAACTTGCACGGATCTTGCCTGGATCTTGCATGTTGGTCTTGCGCAGTTTTTGCACCAGTTGGAACACAATAAGGGGGCTCAAGTCGAAATATTTACGGCCCTTTCTTAAAAAATTGGGGAAAGTTTTTTACGGTACTGTGCTGTAAAAACTTCTCCCAATTTGTAAAAAAGGACCAAAAAAATTATTCGGATCTCCTTCTGAGCAGTAAATTTACGCAAATTTGCTGCTTAAAAAAATTTGGGGATGTTGTATAACATTTCCCAATAAGGGGTTTCAAGTTCCAATTTTTTATACGCTTTTTTAAAAAATCGGTCAAGTTTCATACAACAGCGTAAAAGTTTAAAACTGACCGTTTGTAAAAATCCACCACGTTGCATAATTGTGGTCGTACAAGAAACTTGACCGTTTTGATTACCCGAGCTTTTTATGACCAACCTTGTAATGAGATATCACCTGTTGACCAAGTAAATCAAGCCCAATCCATGCCCACTCAACCTTTTCAAAGGTCTCAAAAACCGTTCCAAACTCATTTTCCAGATGGTTCGAACATCACAAAGAAAAAAAACTATTCACACAGCTGAAGAGCTTCTTCAAATAGCCAAAGAAGATGAAGATGATCAAATGATCGAAGAAGAAATACTTGGTGAATGTATCATTCCGACGTTTGGCGATATTCTTTTTGATGATGATGACGAGACAGCCTTCTTGACCAATCTCCTCTTCAACGATGTCGACGATGCCAAGGATCTCTTGGAAATCCTGGAAAACCTCCGTTACCATGATGCACGGTGGAAGATGCCATTTGAAATGGACTTCAGTTTAAATGACTTGCTTTGTGATCGAGAAGTCGAGTTTTGACAATTGATGAGAACTTCTCACGCCGGCTTCTACGCCATCCTAGAAGCCATACAAGGCCACGGTATCTTCATGTCGACTAGTCGAAACCCACAGCCTGCTCCCATCATTCAACTTGCTCTTACTCTTGAGCGGCTTGGAAGTAATGGTAATGGCTGTTCTGTCCGCCGTCTGGGGAGAGATTACAAGAGGTCAATGGGAGCAATTGTTGACTGTACTCGACGTGTTCTCACCGCCATCGACAAGACATGTAGTCACTATATTCAATGGCCTAGTGAAGAAAGACGAGAAGAGATATCAACAGTGATGTCTCTTGAGGGATTTCCGGGATGTGTCGGTTTTGTTGATGGAACCAACATCCCATTATATCAACGGCCCGGCCTTGACGGAGAGACTTTCTTTGATTGAAAGAAGAGATACTCTCTCAATTGCCAAGTGGTTGTTGATTGTGATCGTCGAATCATTGCTCTCTATAGTGGATGGCCTGGTTTGTGTCATGATCAAAAAGTATTTTCAACCATGTCGCTCTCTCAAGATCCGGAGCTTTACTTTTTGGATGGTGAGTTTTCTCTTGCCTCTTTGTGATCTGAACAGAATTGACCTTTTAACTGACATTCTCATTACAACTTCTTTTAAGATGAATACTTATTGGGAGACTCGGCATACAAAATCACTAACACAGTGGTTTCAACTTACAAGTCGCCAGCATCAAAGATTCAGAGAAACGCTGCATTCAATACCCTTGTGGCTATAGCCCAAATTCGAAATGAACATGGTATTGGTGTTTGGAAAGAACGCTTTGGATCTCTTCAAGGATTGTGATTGAGGCTTGATGAAAATAAGGATATGCCATTTATATTGATCTGGATCAAAGTGTGTGCAATTCTAAGCAATATGCTTGCGGACTTAGGGGATCAGTGGGAGGAGGAATTGAAAGATGATTACTTACACGATAATTACCAATCAGCTGCTGGTCTTGACTTGGAAGTAGATCCTACTGATTCAATTGGAGTTCTACGTCGAGAACTTGTAAGGGACTATGCTGTTTCTTTTGATGAAACTTTATAAGGCTGTCTTGTTATTTTTTAATTCTCACCTTTCTTATTTTTGAATTCTCACCTCAATCCCTCTGAAACAATCATGTACACAATACGAAACTAGTTAAAATTTCAATTTCGATACAAATTTTGCTTCTTAAAATAAACTGATACATAGGTAAATAAAAATATTCTTGTAGATATAAAATCATAATAGATATTTGTAACTACACTTGGGTCAACTCAATCGATAAGTTCACTTTTCAAATAATAAATCCATATATGCTTTCATCTCCTGAACAGACATGTTCTTTAGTTGACATGATTCCATGACCTCTCGGCGAGTCTTGATTCTTTCTGCTTCCACTCGAGCCTCTTCAGCTTTTACCAATCTTGAATCTTCCTTGTTAAACTTCTCCCTTTCCCAGTTAATATTCTTATCAGCCAGCTCACTTGCAATCTTAGCTTTTGAACTCTCTGCTTTCTCAGCCTGTTTACATTCATTTTGATACTTTTCTTTGTCCCATTTCAAAGCGTCTCCAGCTATTTTTCCTTGAGCTTCAATTAGATCGCTTCCTGCTTTCTTTTTCTCCTCTGTCTTTTTATCAAAAAAATCAAAACATTTTTGATCACGATCTTTGACAATCGTAGCTGCTGGTGCCTTGTGGCGGCCTGGATTAGGATCAACCAAAGGTAAGGGTTTCATTGGTCGATTGGCAACTGATTCAGCGCCTCGCTTGCGCTTCGTGGCTGTCCTGGTAGCCTTTCTGATTGATTGAGCACCATCCTCATTGGCCGATATAGGATCGGGTAAGTCAGGAGTTGGTGACAAAGGATCGGGTAAGTCAGGAGTTGGTGATATAGGATTGGGTAAGTCAGGAGTTGGTGATATAGGATTGGGTAAGTCAGGAGTCGAGTATCGAAGATCACTGTCATGAGCAGGTGACAATTGTTTGGATCCAGGTGTTGTTGATTGAAGTTGAATACCCAAAACTTGTGAAGAAGCCATATCATCAATGTTGTCTTTCAAGTTGACAGTAGTTCGACGAGGTGGTGGAGATTGGTGAGGGTATTCATGATGATATTCAGGCTGTATCTCAAAGTCATTTGATTTGTAATGATACTCAGCATCCAAGGTTGGATCGATAACTACATCTTCATTGATTTGATCCAGAGTAGGGATAGAAATCTGAGTTGGTCTTGCTGTATCAAGGATTGCATGCGGAGTTACATTTGCTTTGTGACCAAAAATTTCATGAATGACATCATATCTTGGGCACATATATTCTTTTTTCTTCTCAGCGGTATCAAGTCCTTTAGCAATATCTTTATCTAGCAAACCCGTACCGGTTGATTTATCGAAGTAACGCTTAGTGTCAAGATATTTGTCTTTGATGCGTCTCCATCTCTTCGACATTTCTTCACCAGTGAGTCTCATTTTGTTGTTGGCATTAGCTGAAGATTTCTTGTGGCGATCATTATGATAGACATTCATTAAAGCCGCAAGGGTTTCCCAACAACCCGTTCGAGAAGTCCCATCCACGGCTGTTATGCTTCCAGAACCAAAGAGACAATCTTGGTTTTCTTGCATGGACATCAAATTGAGGAGGTGATCCAAGTCGTTCAGGTCAAACCGTGGGCCATTAACAGGATCCTTGACTTCAATTTCTTCTAAATTGATCTGGTTCTTGACAACTTTCGATTTCGGTTTCAAGGGAGGCTTGAAAGAGGAGGAGCCAACAGTTAGATTCGAATGAGAGGCAACAGTGGTTGCTGTTGACTGAGGGACCTGGACTTTAGGCAGTTTTGGTGGTTGAGATTTGGAGGTACTAGCGGTTGCTGTTGACTGAGGGACCTTGAGTTTAGGCAGTTTTGGTGGTTGAGATTTGGAGGTGCTAGCAGAGGCCTCGCGTTGTTTTGAAATTTCTTTAGATTGGCAAATCTGGAGTGCTGTGGGTTTTTGTCCGGGTGCTAAGCCACAGTCTGCTGCGATCTGGTCCTGTGAACGGCGTGGCATCCTGCAAATGGATATGAAAATATCAGTGATAGTAGATTGTGAGGCACAATGACATGATACGTACACAGCTTAATGTCTACCAAAGATCTTTGAATCCAGATTGATGAGAACAAAACGTGAAAAGTCTTGGTTGATTGGTCTGTTATCAAATCGGTTTTATTGAAAGATTGTGCTATATGGCAACCGGTTTGAAATACTTGATGCCCGGTTTCATGGGCCAAATTTGGCCACAGCCAAGCACAAGATGAACTGCAGACAAGTGTTCAACATGTGATTGGTTAGTAATAATAGGTTTCTATGGATCTAATGTTGTATTTAGAATTGATTTGATGATGGGTGTTTGGTGAGGTTTTCATTTCAAAGTTGATGAGGTTCCCATTTCTAACCAAACTGGGATCCTCAAGTTTAACGAGGTTCTCATTTCTAACTGAATTGAGATCCTTGACCTTTGAAACTAACAAACCAAGAGCGGATGCAGTGGATAATCATCAAAAATACACTCACAGATGCCGGATTGGTTCAGCTTTGAAGTGAATGATCGATCAATTCACTGTTGAGATAGGATAGAGGTGACAAAGTGGTTTGCCCAGTATTTGAAATTTTGAAAACAGGGCTTTGAATTCAAAACTGGTTGCCAAATACCGTGATCCTTTATCAAAAGTTAAATAGAAAGAAAACAATAAATGATTGTCAGTATATAGTGCGCTGGTATTCAATTTTGAAAAGACAAAATCAAATTAGAAAGGTAACTAACTTTGAAGATGGTATTATCTATTCTAGCACCAAATTGAATGATAAGTAAATCCAGAAGTTCTTTCAAATACCAAACTTGTTGTTTGTTAGAGTTGAAAACGATAGTCGAGTTTGATGGTAATAAAACTTCGAATCGTTATCGGGTTTGTGGATGGATCAGGGATTGATGGATTGATGGTTCAAATCCGGATTCGGATTTTGATTCTGAGTGAAAGCAATCCGAACTAGTACTGATCTGAGATTTGTAGTGAAGAATCTTGATCGATGGATGAGATGAAAGGGTGGTGCGATAAAGAATTTGGAGGTAAGGGTAAAGAGCGGTAAGGAAGGGACAAAATGGCCGGGTAAGGGAGTGATCGTCGGTCCTCCAAACTTCAAAGATGACGTAAAAGATCCAAAACTTGACCGGATACTTTTTATATGCGTAAATTTACGCTAATTTTAAAACGGGAGACGTAAAAAGGTTGACCGTTTTAAAAATATTTTACGTAAAATTTATGACTTTGTCCAAGTTTTTAAAACGTAAAATCACGTAAAATTTGGAACTTGAAACCCCTTAATTTCATAAAATTTTGCGTAAATTTTATGAAATCGGGAAAAGTTTTTTACAATAAAAGTAGTAAAAAAATTTGACTTGAGCCCCCCTAATAACTGGGGTTGTCAAAACAATTAATGTGCAAGATTGATGCACAAAATCTTGCACAGATCTTGCACATTGGTCTTGCACAGTTCTTGCACATGTTTTGACACCATAAATGGTTGAGATTTTTTTTCTTTTTTGGTTTTTTTGGTGGGCAAGTAAGGTTTAGGGGTGGTGCTAGGATGTAACATTTTGTGTGTGTTTTTTTCAAAAAAAGCAAAAAGAAGCAAATTTGGAGGTTATTCACCACTTGGGTCACCTATACATATGATGTATAGCATTCACATATATGATAATAGTGCTTCACATATGGCTCTTGTGGACTTTTAGAGCATCCACAATGGCGGACCTATTATGCAAGATCTCACACACTTAAGGGGTCAAAACATAAAAAACTGCTACAGTTGCTCCAGTCTAGTCACAACCAGACTTGCTCTGCAAAATTGAAATTTGATTACACAAGTTTACACACTGAACTCTTACTTACAAATCATGTGTAAAGAGTCATTTTTGGGCTCTAAGGGGGGTGTTTGTGTCAGAAATGACTTGGTGAGTCAATCTGCTTGGCCACTTTGTTTTGAAAAACCTCCGACATTTGGGTCTAGGTACCTAATGGACCTAATATTGAGTTATTAAGTACCTTACTTAAGTATTTAAATACTTATGTACCTTGAGTACACCAAGGGGCGACTTTGAACTGGGACCACGTGGAATGTAAGTTGGGTATGACCACCCCAAGTGGTTGTGTAGAACAGGTGGCAGCAGTGTGACCGCGGATATGTGGCCCTCATCCAAGCTTGTCACCTGTTCTACACGTGAGCTCGCTGGTGAGGTCACCCGTTCTACACGCATGTTATGCTACTGTGATGTACCAGCCTATTAGCGGATGAGCTGATGCGTGTGAGCAGGACCTATCAGCCAGGTTCTCAGCACCTGAATCAGCTTGGATGACTCAAATTCTCGAGAACACAAGACAAGGAAATTTGTACTTGAACATTTTTTTTTGGTATTTTTATTTTTATTTTTTATTTTTCTGAGGGACAGTGACGTCACCGGTTTTTACTTCTCTAAAATACACTGACCACCATCGTTCTTCTAAGTCATTCCGCACGCAAGTTTGCAACCCACTCCTACTTCACCACTTTGATCGATCACAAGCAGTCTCACTCTTGCATCTCTTGCATCTCTCGCATCTTCAATAGCAAGATTCAACAACTGCATCACATGAATGCAATAGATTGCAAGGACAAATTGGATAACATCATGGTAAGTTTGTCTGTCCTTCACATCAATCTTTTCTGATCAATTGTCTTAATCAATCCCATCATATTCATCAATGCCTTTTATTGTTCTTTGACAATATCAATCTACTTTGACCATTGTAGGTTTATCTCTCTTTCTCCTCTTCAAAGACTCATAAAAGAATCACACTTCATCATACTACTTCAAAGCCAATTCTTCTGAAGTTCAATAAACAATTACTCAATGAACTAATCAATCTTTATCATTCTTCTCCAATTCTATTATGTAGATCAGGAGATTCAGTAAGATCAGCTATAGTAAAACAAATAATAATCATTCAACAAAACGGATACACTCAAGACAAGCTCCTTTCTTTCAAAGTAACAATCTACAAAAACTTAATATTTCAAGTGCAACTTTCCTGTTCTCAAACATCTTAACTTCATGATTCAAATTTGCTGATCTCTTGTAACTGCTTTTTATCGAACTCTTCCTTTTAATCCTACTCTTGCTTGTCCATAGATCAGATCGCTCAATCACTGGCTCAATCACCTGTCCATATTAGACAAGTGATATATACATCTATTTGGCTTCATGTCTCAAAATCAGTCATATTCACATCATCATTCCCTTTGATACAGAGATCCCCATCACCTTCTGATCAATTTTATTTGATATAAATCTTTCTCTCTCTATTTTTCAACTGTGCTCTTCCAATTTTATCTTTCCTCTTTGCTTGATAAATGTATGTAGTATTTGAGAGTTTCTTCTAATGCAAAAAGTGGATGACTTTATTTATGCACAATTCTGGCAGCAAAAACAACAGCCAAGCCTGATTTGAGTGGGTTGGCTATTAATACCAAACAAGGCGGAATGAGCACTGAGAGGAATCACTCATCTGGCCATTGATTGATCAGGCTTACACTGTTGTTATGTCAGATAGCTCACCTTGTCACTGTGTGAGTCATTCCACCTTGTTGTGATGTGAGATGCTCACCTTGTTATGATACGGATCACATTGGGTGGAGCTCACGCTGGCTGGCATGTGTAGCTCACATTGGGTATGGAAATGTAGACAGCGTGTGGTTTATTAATTCACGTGAGTGTCATGTGCCACCCGCCCCGTGGTGTAAGTAGGTGGAGCACCTCTCATCACAACTCCTGGGGTACAGAACAGCATAGACTTGTATCTTTACAATACAAGGGTGAAGTATGCAGTGATAGAGTGAAGAAAAGGAACTTTCACCAAAAAAACCCTGCAAATTTTTTTGGGTATTACTGGGACCCCCTAACATTTGGGTCCCAGGGCGGGGCCGGGCTCTGGTTGTGACTAGACTGGAGCAACTGTACAGCAGTTCTTGCAAAGTACAAGGTGAGACATTGAGAGCCCTCAAATTTTGATCAAGAGTCTCCATATCTGGGGGGCCTGTAGGGGCTCTTGACATCACATGCACTAATAAGAAATACAGAACACACATCAAAAAGAAATTGACTGCAATCATGAGTCCAATCCACTCAGCATCTGAGTAAAAGCATATGCAGCATTAAACTAAGGTTTTTCAACCCAAAGACAGCAGATTTGAGTGCTCTGTTGTGCCCACACTTGGTTTCTGACTCCCACATCTGAAAATCAAGGTTGGGGGTCCATTTGTGACCCCTCAAAGTAAGTGGATCATTGTGGATGCTCTTACCTCTGTCACAGTCTGGTCTCTGTTCAATTTTGACTCCATCAACAATTCAGAAGTATTTCCGCAGGATAAACAGCATTCAGCATCCAAATAAGGCCCTGTTCAGTATAGCTTACAAAGAGTGGGAGAAATGCATTATTTTTTGAAAATGATCAATTTTTCAATTTTTCAAAAAATGCTGTTTGTTATCACTTTTCCCCCTGTTTTTGCAAGCCATTTTTCAGTTGATGATCTATTATTTCTGATCAGTTATATGGTGTTTTGAAAGCTGCTCTAGACAGGCTCTCAAGTTTCAATAATCCATTATAAACCTGGAAGAAGCTTTACAACTCAGGGCTCTCTTGCATCAAGATCACCTCCAATCAACATTTTGCCAAGAAAAATCTTGCTCTATCACACTCATGCTGTGCAGTTCTGCTCAACTGGCCTCCTTGTATCTCATCTCTAGAGCTCAGTATATCATAGCAATACCCAACTTCAAACTTTAATAATTACCAACTCTACTCTGATTTGTACTAATTGAACTTTGGTTTTTGCCCATGGCTGAGCCTGTGATCTTTACAAGTTCAACTCTCACTTTGATAACTTGACTTTCATAGTCATAAATTTGACTTTTGTATTTCAAACAATTACAGGTGATGAATAGAAACAATGGACCAAGGGGTTAGACTTGGACCAAGTGATTTCACTATCAATGAAATGAAACAATTGGGTGATTCCATCAAACCCTCAATGTATGATTCTATTGAGTCATCAATGAATCAATGAGATATTTGAGATGAGTTAATTTCTCATTGCCCAAAATCAAAATGAGTGATTGGAAATCAAGATGATGATAGGTTATGATTGTTTGTTAAGTTTAGTAAATGGCATGAGTCAATCACAGAGAAGCAGAATATGTTGTAAGTTTTCAGGGAGCTTGTAAGTGATGATGAATTGGAGATGAATCAATGTGCCTCAGAGAGGCAAACAAAAAACTCTGTTGCCTCATGAAAATCCACAGATGGGGAAAACATCATAAAAGAGCCAGATTTCTCCTGCAAAAACTCATTCCCCTCACAGGCCAAAGCCTACCTTGTTGTCATAAACTTCTTAACGAGTGCCTTGTTTTGCTGGAAGCATACAAGAAGCAGTGTGGGACTTGGATTGTGCACTGTGTGACTATGATCAACTCATATCATACATGATGAAATGTGACAGAATATTATGTACATTTAATTAGGGCTGTGACCTGGCAGTGGACCCACCCCTGCCTGGCCTCAACACCTTTCACAGAGCTGACAGTATGGGCCCTGGGGCACTTAAACCTAGCTTGATGGCAGTAAAAAATGGCCCTGTGGGCACATCCAGCCGCTTGGGCGCCTGACCCGGCAAGGGCTCCAACCTTTTTTCCGCCAACCATATTTCACAATAATCAGGATGCAGGGTTAGTAGATCTTATTTTGACAGACTCAAACCCCTATTGAGCTACAAGAATGCCCTGCATCCCTACTCTGGTGTGCCCTGGTCAACCCCGAGGGCTACTGACAGGTACCCGGCTCCACCCAAGGCCGGGCAAAGCGCCTACCCGGACCCGTCATACTCGGGGCCGGCTCACATTTTTACATGTGATTGATCGAGGTGACGTCATCATCATTGACTTTCACTTGAACTCTCTCCTGGCAGCCCCTGACCTCGAGACTCAGCCTACTTCCCTCTACTTCCTCAACGTCCAATCAAATAGATCGAATCAAAATGGATGCAAAAAACGATTCTCCCGAACTAGACCCAATCAGCTTATCAGAATTACCAAGAATCAATACTTATATTCCAAATCAAAATGGGACAAAAGCTTTAGTTTTCATAACAAAATATAATCATAAACAAAAACAAATGAACAGATCATTACAGTTTATTGAACTTCAAAGAGAAACTCCAAATCATGAACTTTTGATTGATAATCTAGTTTATACTGAAGCGATTTGGATTGATTCTAATACGATCCTTTATCTCAGGCCTCCAGGATCAAGTTTAGAAAAACCTGATTTAGATCCTACTTTAGATACTTCATCTGCCACTAAAGAATTGAATCAAAGACTTGATTCTTTGCCAAATAACGAAGGAAAATTAATTGAACTATGGGCCATAAATCTCGAAAAGAAAACAAATGAAAAAGCTTATGAAAACTATCTAGTTGGAAAATTACCAACTACAATCTCAGATTTACAATCGATTTCATTATCAAAAACCTCTGCAATCTTAGCTTTTTTTGCAGAAGTCTATGCTCCTTATGATCACGAATCAATAAAAAAAGTGGATGAGATTGAAAAACTTAAAAAAGACGAAGATGATGGGTCTTCTGGAATGGTATATGACGCTTTGTTTGTTAGACGTTGGGATACTTGGATGAATCCTCATGGGAAATCTAGTCGGGTTTATTTTACTCAACTTTCTCTTACTGAAAATCTTCAATGGTCGTTATCTTCAGATTCGACTTTTTATTCTCCTTTCCCTAATTTAGTATGTCTTATTCTCTATAGTTTCTTTAAAATCTTTCATCATACTAATTAGATTCTGTCTCACGAAATAGACGGTTCCTAATGGTCCACTTGGTGACGGATCTGATTTTGATCTTTCAGGTTCATCAATCGTTGTAACATCAAAAGATCCAAACTTAAATCCAGGTAAGTAATCAATCAGAATGAAAGATTTCTCTTTTAGTCCTAACATATCGTTTGATTTTTATCTGTTTGAAAAAGCTTGGCATACTCGTCAGAACATTTATGTGGTACCATTATTTCCAAAACATAAAGAAGATGGTAGAATAGTAGAAGTCACAATGGGAGATCAAGGTGCAACTTCAAATGTAAACCTCTTCCCCTTTCCTCTTCAATAGTCGAAAAACATCTTATACTTAATTTATGGGAATATTGGTTCTGTTTCTTTTAGCCTGTTTTTTCACCATCAGCAAAATCTAATAATACCAGAGATAAAGGGAAATTAGCTTGGTTAGAAATGAGAATAGATGGATACGAATCAGATCGTAATAGAGTAATGATATATGATTTCGAAACTCGTAGAAGATATTGTTTAACTAAACATTGGGATAGGTCTCCAAGTCGAATAATCTGGGGTAAAGATGATACTGAAATATTTTTAACTGCTCAGGTTTGTTCTTTCTATAATCACAAACAAAAATCAAGCTTATCACTTTCTTTTTATATCTTTGATGTTTGTTGGTTGTAATTTTAGGAACATGGTAGGGTGAAAGCTTTTCGTCTTCCTGTTAAAGAAGATTCAAAAGAAATGCCAATAAGTCTAACAAAAGAGAACTCAATTTCTAATCTATCTTACTTACCAACTTCAACACCTGAATCCACAAATTTATTACTTACAACTTCTTCATTAAATTCATTAAATTCTCCATCCATCTTAAATTTATCAAAAAATCAAGATGTATCATTGATGAAATTGAATTCTTTTGAGACACTTGGACTTGATGGACTTGATGATGCAGAACACTTTTGGTTTGAGGGTGCCGAAGAAGTTAAAGTTCATGGGATCTTTATTAGACCTCCTGGGTTTAAAAAAGGTGTCGAAGAAAAATGGCCGTTATTATTTTTAATGTAAGTTATGTAATTCAGATGAAAAGTCTTGATCCTTTTCTTAATAATTGGATTTGTTTGGTAGACATGGTGGTCCTCAATCGGCTTGGAATGATTCTTGGGGTTTAAGATGGAATGCCAATGCATTTGCATCTGCTGGTTATCTTGTGGCTATGATCAATCCATCTGGTTCTACGGGTTTTGGTCAAGTAAGTGATCATAATACATTCTTGAAAGTTTTTTTCCCTAATCATTCTTGTGGATTGAATCATTTTGGGTTTTCTTTTGGTTTAGGAATTTACGGATTCTATTAACCAACAATGGGGTGGTAAACCTTATAAGGTGGGCTTCTAATTACATAGGATGAGATCGAATTGCATATCTTGGATCATTTATGATTTTTGGTTGGGGATGGAGTGAATTTTTAGGATTTAGCAGCTGGTTATCAGTATATACTTGATCATTATCCAGAGATAGATTCAAATCGAACAGCTGCACTTGGTACGTTCTCGAACCATTCCCTATCTATTCTCCAAACGATTTTTCTGATTTCCATTGGATCCATATTTGACTCTTTCTTCTTTGACAAAAACACACAGGTGCAAGTTACGGAGGTTATATGGTCAACTGGTTGATGGGACACAACAATTCACCATTCAATTTTAAAGCATTCGTTTCACATGATGGAATCTTGAATACAATTTCGACTTACTTTGCTACAGATGAAATATATTTTCCTGAACATGAGTTTGGTGGAACTGCTATCCATAAGAAAGAAGTTTATGAGAAATGGAACCCATTGAATTTTGTCGGGAACTGGAAAACTCCTTGTTTGGTTATTCATAGTCGATTCGATTGTAAGTGGTTCAGTTTCTCTTCTTGATTGATTGAGTTGTAGGGTTTTTTATCGGTTTGGTTTGGGATAGATCGATTACCTGAATCTGAAGGAATAAGTGTAAGTTTTGAAACACTTGATTGCAAAAAGCTTAGATTCTTTTGGTGTTTGATGATTGGTTGAAATTTCATCTGATATTTATTGGGGTTTCTTTAGGTCTTTAATTCTTTACAACGTCAAGGAATTCCATCTAAATTACTTTATTTTGTAAGTCGCATTTTTCTTTTTTCTTTTTTCTTTTATGATTGGAAGAAATAATAATGGGATTTTTTGGTTGGTTTTTTTCTGGGGGGTGGAAATCGGAATAGCCGGATGAAAATCATTGGGTTTCTAAATCTGCTAATTTAATACGTTGGTATAAAGAGATATTTAAATTTTTGGGTAAATTTGTTTCTCTTGTTACTTTTGTCGAGTTTTTGAAAACTCACGATTTTCCTTTTTTCGGGTTATATTGCACTTTTAAAGATGAATGGTGTCCTGCTGGAGTAAGTTCAAGTGTTTCTGGTTCAAATTAAAAGAAAGATCCAATTTATCAGGAGAAAAGAAATTAGTGAGTTTTGGGTCGAGTTGGTTAGAATTCTTTCGGTTTATTGAATGGCATTTTGAGCCTCTGAAGAGCATTAGAATTTGATTTCAAAGAACTCTGTGATTGTATAGGAAGAAATATTGTATGTATAAGTTCTGGTGCGGATTTTGTTGCAGGTTGGTGTTGAGATTTTAGAGGTTTGATGATGCTTGAATAATAATTTGAAGTTTTTATGTATAGAGAAATGATATTACTTTTCAACAGATTTTGATAAGGAGAAAACCTTCTGGTTTATTTCAGTTGAGACATCAGACATTGGTTTCGCGAGATTGCAAGGGTAAACAAAAAGTTTGTGATGTAGAGATGTGAATTCTCTTACCTTTCTAAAGATGGTCACCAAAATGTGTTAATGATCATACCTGAATCTTGCAGACAAACCCATACTCATCCCATTTCAATGTCCTAATCCGTAAGCACTTGGTGCATAGATTCAGTAGCTCTTGCTCAAAGCTAGACTGCATAATCAAAACTACCTTATTAATTCTGCCTTCATGAGATGATATAAGTTTCTGAAGGGGTTTAGGAATCAACACATCTGCTGGAAAAAACACAAAAACAATCAACATCCATCAATCAATGGAGTGATAATGAAGCAATGATGATGAGCAAGAGTAGAGATGGAATGACACCGCAAGGATTTCACCATGGTGTAAAAAACAAAATCTCAGGAGAAATACAATGCTATTTGTCCTGCAATGTTTTTTGGAATAGTTTGAAGCATTTGACTGATCAAAATCAACTCAGCAAGCAATGTCTGATACTTTTTTGGGTTTCTGAAGAAAATTAGAAATTACACACCTCTCTTGCAATCCAAGCCTTGTGGCAGCTCTGATACTTTATATTCCATTGGATCCCATAGACCACCATCAGGGACCGTTTGGAACCTTTTTTCTCTCCGATCCTGTCAAACTCTCTATTCCAAGCTGCTGAACAGGTAATTCTGTGGGTAATAAAATCAACCTAAATACCATGTAAATATAACAATGATCAGTCATCAGTTGATTGGAGATCCTTCAATCCAGTGAGACACATACCTTGCGTAATATGCAAATGACATTGTTTGCTTCCCAACAATGCGTAGGTTGAGCTTTGTGATCATCTACTGTAAATTCTGGAAATACTTCATCTTTGGTTTCAGCTGCTTCACCCTGGTCTAACAAGTGTGAAATAGCTTCTGCAGGTGGAATTGATTTGTCAGTGTCAAGGTCCTGTAAGCTGTGTTCCACAGGGTTCTCTGATTCAACAGGCTTATAAGATTGTCTGCTATGAGGAGGAACTATGGTAGGTTTATTTGTACCTGATTCCTTGTCTTCTTTGACAATGGTTCCTTTGGTTGGCGATCCCACAATCAGCTTATTTCACTTTGAGGGGTGGAGGTGCCTTCACACCCAAAGCAGAAAACCCCGCCTTAACAAGTAAGGCAGCTTTGCAACAATATGCATGCTGTCTGGCACCCACCAGTAAGCGGGAATGTTAACCTGTTTCAAACATTGCTTGTGCATTTTGGAAGCCATTTTTTTATTTACAAACTTAGATCATGAATTGGTGGTCTGGCACAGCATGTAATTGAACAAAGATAAGATGTTAGCATGGTATTATTGAAATATGAACACCTTGATGGGATGTTGGCAAGCCACATTGAATAAGCCACTTGGATCTCAGATGATTATTTGAGATCCACTTTACATGCTTTATATGAACTATAAGACACAGCTGTTCTTTCAAGTCATCTGTGATGGTTTCTAGACAAGATGTGATGTTGGTATGATTGTGCATTACCAATTGGGTATCATTGAGGAAGAGAGTTGATTTGTCTTTGATGAGCTTGACCATAAATTCACAATCTTCCTACAAGTAGGTTGTTGGATGGCCTTGTTTCCTGTATGTATCCGGTTCTCTGACAATAGCGTGTAACATCTGCCAAGAGACTTCCATTTCAAGAAGGTTTGGGGTGAAATTTTGTTGAGAACTTCTGTGTTGATTACAAGAATGGATATACCACAAAGCAACTTGTTGACAGCAATCACTTTGATTTGAGGGCTGTACTTGGTGAAAGGCATACTAAAACAACAGAATACCTTGCATTGGATAGAAAATGTTATGATTGGATCAAGGATATAGAAGTGGTCATATTGGGGCAGCAAAACAGTCAACTGCCTCAATTGAGATGTCCCAATCTTGATTGAAGCCTATGTATGCTTATAGAATGGCCTGTATTGGCATGTATTAGCTCTGAGATTATGTCATTAAATTTCAAAGTGACAAGCAAAGGTGGAATGACTGTAGATAGAAAACCCAGACCAGCAGCTTCACCCCACAGTTTTAAACAATACACTGAGGGCGCAGTCACTTAAGCAATTTCTGGTGAGAAATCACATTCTGAAAAATTCAAAACATCAAGAAACTTACAGAATGTGATTTCTGGTCAGAAATTCCTCAAGTGACCACACAGAGCATTGCCACCAGGCCATGTAAATTGGACAATACAGGATGTATTCATTTTGTGCGGGAAAACATCTGAGTCACCGGACCATGTAAACAGCCTGTCTGTGCCACACCATCCAAATCTCAACCATGAGAGTGCAAATTTGAACTGTGTGCAAATACCTCAGCTTCACTAATCCCACATTCTGACATGGCCAAGTCTGCTCTCAAAGAGGGGCTTATGACTAAAATCCCGGGTTTGGCTTGAGCACATCAAAAAATTCAAGGACCTTGGATCCCCACAATGAGGACCCAATACAACATGCAATGTCACCAAAATTGGGAGGAGCTTCTTCAAGGTCTTCTGTGTCTCCTTGTACATTATTTAGCATGTCAACAGTTGTGGGTCACAAGGAAATTGGACTCCAAGAGCAAGTCATTTTGAACCGGTCAAGCACACGTGTAGGCCCTGTATTGAAGTAGAGCCAGATTCGCAAGAACTCAACAACTCAACTGTGTCCTTTTGCTCAAGTAAAATGGTGCAAGTAGTGGCACTAGTGTGGGTACAAGGCTTATAAGAAGCTCTGGTCATCATTGTGAGGTTACAAGATGTCTAGAGCCCTCACAATGAGATTTCAAGCAAAAGTACTTGAAAATCCTGCTGTGCTCAGGCAAAACCTGGGGTTTCAGTCATAAGCCCCTCTTCAAGAGTGGATGTGGCTGTGCTGGCTCACAATTTAATCACATTCCAATCTACAATCCTCTCCCTTGGTCATTTATTGTTTTGACTTGTCAGTATCTACACAGCTGTGGTTTTGTCAACCTATGCGCAAATCTGTGATACAGGCTGAGACCTGTCAAACAGTCATTGTCAGACAGCCTTCTTGCGCACCAATGTGAAGATGCTCCAAGGAAAATCAAAATATGAAGACCCGGGAAACTAAATCTGTACAATTCTTCAATGCTTCACAGAACCCAAATGTCAATGCGGCATCAATCAAAGTCTTTGCCAATCCAGATGGAACTTTTTTGCTTGATTGTGAAATCCCATTTGATCCACCCTTGGTCATGTCCTATCAAATCTATACTCTTGCTGCTGAAAAAACTACCCAGTCTTGAGCTGAAGACACAGATATCCCCAAGCTTCATGTAACTTTCTTTAGTTCTTTTGTCATGTTTTTTTTTGTTTCTCACGTGGCAAGACTTGCAGGTCAAATGTTGAGACTTATATCATGTTGTTCTGCCTACTATTGCTTTATCTTCTTATATATATTTTTGTCTTTTGACTTGTGATGGGGGGTCTTGTTGTTGTCTTTCTCGTTTTGTACGTGCCTTTTTTTTAATTGAATGTATTTATAGTGCAATACCTGGCCCTAGGGCATAAAAACACACTGTCCTGAAACAAGTTTGATCTATCTAGCCACAAGTTAGTAAGAAAAAATAAGGGTTGTGAGGCAACTAATGGGCCCGTCACTGCGTCTGGTAGAAACAACACTGGGTCAGCTGAGTTAGCCGTAGCTGGGACGCAGCGCGGCGCAGCGGATTTTATCATGCGCTGCGCTCCTTCGGAGCGTAACGTTTTGGGCGGGGACGGAGTTGCGCTACGGGGCCCTGACAAAAGTCGATTTTTCCAATAAGCTACGCTCCGACAAACGTAGCCCCGATATCCGGCACCGTTAGCGCCCGTGCCGGGTCAGAGCTCAATTTGGTATGAATCACCATGATACATGGTGATACTTCCCAAATTGGAACCTTCATGCCACCCCCTCTCGCCAAACGATCACAAACCAGCACTAAATATCCCAATGTGGCCTCTATATCAATGTATTAGGCCTAAACGAGAGGCCAGGGACTCAATGGCCACGCTCACGCTAACTAGAAATCAAACGTATTGGACTGTATTCAAGGTATAGTATTTCCCCCAATCTTCATTTCCATCCGATTCTGATTCCACTCTTATCTCATTTCTTATCCTGATCCACTACCATCAATAACTATCCCGTTTTTTCAATTTGGATATCTCTCTTATCAACATCTAGTCCAAGATGTCCTCAGTAACCTCCGACACTGTAAACATCATTCAACTTCCCCAATTTGGCAGAGGAAAATGATTAATAGTACAGTTTTTCATAAAAGAATCTAATACTGCACACCTGGGCCATTTCACCCACACTACATATGTGCAGCAAGCTAAGTCAATAGTTGTCTATCATGTACATACAGGTCTGCTCAGTTTTTTGCCCATCAGAATAAATAAATCACATGTTATACGACATGTAACTTTTTCGACTTTGAAATTTTTTTCCCAAAAATTCACTACATATAATTCTGTAGCTGCTCAGGCAATATTGTTGAAGCTATGTCTTAGTAACAGAAAGTGTGTTACATGCAGTTGAGTTGATGAGATCACACCAAAACATTGAGTCAGTGTATGTAGTCAATCTTTTGGAAGCTTTTTTCAATCTGAAAGAAGTTACAGCATGTATTACATATGAATAACTTGTC